CAGTAATTTATGGCACTCTTTTCCACAAATAAATCGGAGTCAGTTTGAGACAGAGAGACCTGTTTATACTTTTTAGTGAAGAATGCGCTTTTTTGTATGGTGACGGAAAGTGTGATGTCCAGTGTTCAGCAAGTCAGTGCGGTTTCGATGGCGGCGACTGCATCACTATTTTAGAAGATGCACAAGAACCAATTGTGATGGAAGTCATGACTTATCCAATGGAACTATGCGTAAAACTTCGGCTAATTAGTGCTGAGTTAGCGCAGGTAGTCAAATCATGGTTTATTCGATTTGGTTTTAGTAGTTTAGTATTACGATATTCGTCGAATGGCAGTTACTTTAGACAATATATGCTCCTGTGAAGTTGAAAATGAGTTCAGTCGTTCCCGCGGAGTCGAAAACTAATGACCTGGTGATGGATTGTTTATTGTTTGCAAAAGCATTCGGTGACAATGGTTTGCAGTCGCTAAAGTAAAGTTTTCAAAATTTAAGAAGCAAATGTAGCAGGTATTCTCGTCATTGTGTGTTTTTGAAGCTCAAGAAAAAATTTAAAAAGTCAATAAAATTTTTGGCCGAGGCCGAAGCGTTTATGAAACGTTGTTGAAAAGTCTACAATGCGATTGTTTATTAAGAGGATGGTTGGGAAGGGGTTTTTAAAGGTGAAATTTTCTTAAGTGAACCGCGTGGTAAACGTCTAAAACTGTTATTGTTCTAGCTAATTTTGGGGACAATTTAGAATTTGTTAAGACTGTTGGGAGTGGATGGGAGCTCACAGCTGTGACATATAAAATAGTTAAAAGTTGTCACCTATCAAGGTATTGGAGTAGAGGGAATTTAAAAATTTCAAATCGCTCGCTGGTGCAAAAGAAAGAAGTTAAGAATCTTTTCTTTTTGCATTTCAAACGCTTTTTTTCTCTGTTCGGTTCGGGAAATAGATGCTTTCAGCATTCTTCATTAACTCTTTTAAATCATTAATGGCACAGCTTGGAAGTTATGCCTTGGATGGATGCTCTTTCACGTTAACAATTTCATCTACCATTTCTCTCTTTCAAGTGAAATTCGTTTTTTAATGGACTAAACTTAATCATTAAAAATAGTAGTCTTTAGAAATTCAAATTTTCTCTGCAAAATAAGCCAATTATGGACTGCATGCGTAGTACATAAAAAGCACTGTTTTGGAAAAAATTCTAGAGTTGTTCTCGGAACACTCGAGACAATGAATCAAACGATTATTGAAATGTCAGAACCTCGTTTGGACATAACTTTTTAAACATAAGCTTGTTGTTTTATGCAGTAAAAACTAGAAAGAGGTGCAGTTGACCATAAGATTCTCTTTTTCGCGTAGTATACGGGTCTTAAAAGCCGTTTAGGTGCTGCATTGTTGCCGTCTTATTAACCTTTCAGGCTTGAATTATACATTGACGTCAAAGGATGTATTGCTCGCTCGTTAAACTCTTCTGACACTCCGTGTTTTTCTGAGCCAAGTAGCGCAGTAGCGTTTCTCCAAACCACGCTGAAGTCACAGGTACTTTAAGTTTACTTATTTTTTTGATAAGATTAGTAATACTTTTACTGTATTTCTTGCACACTGTAAAGTTTTTGACTAATGTGCAACTATTATTTGCACTATTCAGTTTTTGATGCCGGGGTAATTTATTAGAGGGATCACTAATATAGATTTCTTTCTGTCTGTCAAACTGATCTACATAATTAGAAAGTAATTAATTATTTTTGTTTTTTACTATTAAATTTGGCAGCTGTAATATTGAATACGGGTGACGGCGGTCTTTGCAGGGTTTTAGAAGTTCTTTTTTAAAGGGAATTCGAGTACAAGAAATTTCTACACTTGGATCAGACAAGGGTCGTTTGTTTTGGCCTCTAAAGTTTCTAATTTATTTTTTTCCCATAATTATTGTTATTGGTTTACTGTTCTTTTTTGGTATCTTTGGATTTACTCGAGTTCGCAGGGAAAGGTATAATTCACATAAATTATCCGCGTCAGTTTGGAAAATTCCAAGTAATTTTTATTCCTCTAATTCATTTCTGCTTCGAGCTTTTCGGTAAAAATCAATTTTTAATACTTTTGCCTGTACAAATCTATCAGAAGAGAAATATATTAATGTTAAGTTTGATGTGGCGTGGCATTTTATGTAGATATTTACTCAGCTCAGCAAGACGCTGATAAATCTTCATTGTTTCTAACAACAGATGACACTGGTTGGAAGACGCTCTCAATATTGAAGAGGAAGAAAAGAAAATTCGAGGTATATACCCTTGTATCCTCGCTTCAGCGTAATATCACATGAAATTATTCTTTTTTTTGTAGGATGACGAGATGACTCTCAAAAGATGCTCTTCTAAAGAATTTTTTCCCGAAAAAGTAGAAAATTCTGGAGATTCATCGTGTATTGTTTACATGGAACCAGCTGGTAGTAACTTTTTTCTTGTTTGGTACTTAAACTGTAAAATTTTTTTGGTTTGATCTAGGAATTAATTTTTCCAAATCTAGGAATTATGTTTTTGTTTTTTAACCGCGCTCTTTTACTTTTCTTTCAACTTTTATCTTTTTTATTTTCAGTAACCTCATTTATCGACCTCCCAAAATTCACAGTTTTTTCTTTATGCTTATGAACGTTACTTCTCGAACTACTCTGCTCTTTTTGCTTCTCTTCTCCTTTTAATCGCTTTAAGTTGAAACCTGAATATTTTTCAGTTGAACATTTTACTTGTCGTCGTTCCACAGGCGCAATATTACTTCCATTTTTCTGATGGGCATTTTTTAGAACGTGAGCCAGACTTATTGCATGCTGTCCGTTTAAATTCTCCAGAAATGGTGCAGTTGTTACTCTCTCGCGGTGATAAGGCAAGTTGCAGAGATGATGACGGTAATACAGCTCTCCATCATGCAGTTGCAGTGAACAATTTTCAGATTGTTCAAATGTTATTGAATAGCTACAGCTGCGATGTAAGATTGCAAAATTATTTTTAAAAAATTACAAAATTGTCCAAACGTTTTGCACTTCATCCTCTCCTTCGCTTTGCATGCAACGCCATATAAAGCATGTTCTGTAAAAATCTTTTTGAAGCTAAATGCAAGGAATTCTTTGGGTCAAACTGCTTTAATGTTAGCAGTGAAATTGTCAGAAGTTCTCAACAGGAATGTTAAGATTCTGTTGGATTTCACAGTCCTGGACCGAGGGCGACGATTTACGACGTTCAAAAAGTCTGAGTTTTGAATTCAGTACTTATTCGTAATCTTTGTTGAGCCAATTTCATTTTGCTAATTTTATGAACATTGACTGCTTGCTGTCGTTGCTCAGGGAAAAGATATGAGTTAGGTATCAGTCTGTCGTTGCTTAGTTGGGTTAAATAGAAATGGAACAACAGTCTGGAAAGTAGTATTGTTTTTTTTTTGATGACTTTCTATTGAAAATATTCTTTGATTAGTTCTGTCATCTTTTTAAAAACACTGAAATTGGACAGCCTGTACAGTTAACCGTGAAGAAATTTTTGGTTCATCATCATAGTGTAGTTTTAAATTGGCAAAGAGGTTTTTTAATTTCAGAATAGTTATTCAGCGACGAAATCGATGTTCGTTGTTACAGGACACGGTTAGTGTTTACCAATTTTTTTTTGTGCTATCTTTTCAATATAGTTTGTTTAAAAAATTCAAGGAGTGTCAAAAAAGCTGCTTGAAGAACACGAGGTTTTATCCTGAATCAACTCCTGAAGACGCGTTGTGTTTGACAGATTGTTTTGGGAGATCCGTGTTACATTACGCTGCGCTAAGTAATCGTTTTGAGCTTATACCACTGCTGGTTGCCTATGGTGCGGAAATAGACGTTCGAGATGGAAAAGTATTTTTTCACTTTGCATTATTTCATGAGGGAATCCTAAGCATTCTAATACTATGCTCAAAGTCACTGATTACTACATGGTTTGAAGTGTTTAAAAAACTGGGTTTTTCTTTGATGTTTCCAGGTAAGGTAGTGTAGACTCTTTTTTGGTTTGAATATGAAAAAGGAGGCTAGGACAAAACTTTTGTTATTGTCTTTTTAGCATTATAGGCGTCCGCAAAGAGCTTACTTATTTATTTCCATATTTTGTTGTATTACTAATGTTGCAAAATAGTTGTCCTGTTCCAAGTAGCAAAAACAGCTCGAATCTCCAGTTTTTGTCATCCTTTGATAAATATCGGTACGCTCCGTAATTTAGTCCACAAAATTTTGATATAAAATTCAAAAGGGCATGACTTTGTTCGCGATCCAATTTTAAATGGTCGGAGTAAGAACCTTTCTGGTCAAAGCAACGTTGTCTGAGTGGTAAATCTTTATAGTACCACTGAATCAAAAGATAGCAAACCCAGTGTCAGCCTTTTACCGGGTTATCTCTACTACACAGATTTTTATTACAAATGAATAATTCCAGTTGTTAAGAGAGTGGAAACCTGTTGAATTTCATACTTTGCAACTTGGAAAAGTTTTAACCAAACCTCGATTTTGAGTTTCCAACTCGACTTGAGTTTCGCAAAAGTCTTTTTTGTTGTTGTCAGAAGGAATTACGACTTCCTCTCCATTTGCAGCTCTTTAGTGAAATTTCAAAAGATAAGTTCATTTCCCTTTGAGTTTCCTCTGTATTTTCCTAGAATCGTCTCACAAGAAAGCAGAGGGCTAGCTCAGATCGACGGACTCCCAGACACATACTGTCAGCTTTTTGTTGCGGAAATGGCTTAGGCATTGAATTTTGAATCAATTTAATTTCATCCATATTCTCTTTCGTTTCCTGTCATGACAAATAACCATAGATTCAACTTGTGTAACTTTTGGATCTTAAACCTCTTGACCTCCCTCTAACTTGTGCTAGTAAAATGGTAATTGTTCTGCTCACTGCTAGGTACTCATGCCTAAGTTATCCAGATTTTTTCTTAGCTTGTCTTATTCAACAACTTATGACTTCTCTCTATGCTCACTGTCTATAATAGGTATGTTCTGCTTCTAATACTTTGTGTGCTAGAAATAGGTCGTTTTTTCAAGCAC